CCGCGTCTCAGAGTCCAATAAAGAACACCTTGCTCTAAGTAGTCCGCTCAGCGCGCGGACGCCGCGCCCTCGTGAAAAATAGGGAACAATTTTAAAGCTAGGGCTCCATAACGCACAAAGACACCTACCACGCAACAAGATGCATCAACAATTTAAAGAAGGCTTTGTATGCCACTTAAGTTCCTCTATAACACGTTAGTTAAAATTGCTAACGATTTTTGTTTATGTTGGGGGATTTAGGCAAAGGAGGGAAAAGCGACGCAACAAGGAAATAATGATCAATAATGATCTCACCTTGACGAGGAACTCCAAGGACTCGACATATGACCGCTCCGTCTCGTACAACTCTACCACAACGTGAGTTCTCGTGTCCTAGAAACAAAGCAAAAAAAAAGAATGTACACATTTATAACAACTTCCAATGAATGTGACCTTTTTTAATTTGGCAACAAAATACTCAATGAGTTGTGTCATGACTCATAATTGCAATTGTCCATAACACTCTAGGAATACATTGAAAACCGTTCCAAATTCAGTGGCATGGATTCAAAAACAATATTTATAACACATCATCAAATAAAAAATTTCAAGAAGGGAAAGAAATAACAGCGTCAAAGCAGCATGCCGTGACCATGCTGTAACCCCCAGGGATGTGCTGGTATGATGCCCTGCCCCCTCCACCCACCCCACGCTCGGTTAAAATTGAAGTCTTCGCCCAAATGAGGTTAGTGCGGCTACCTTCTTCGCTCCCCTCCCACCCACCCGCTGTCCCCTGTTATTACGTTATGGCCTGTCCGACTATTACGTAACACCGCGTCCATCTTTCTCCTCATGGTTAGGAAAAGTGGTTAGAAATTACTCGGAATTCTCCTACGGTCTACATCGTATGGTTTCAACAAATCGTGACTAAGAAAATCTGAAAAAAGGGCAAAAAAATAGAGAAAATAACAAGTTGTGCGGTTTGTACATAATGGTAGTAGAGACAGAGGCGAATGAATATCTCATGTTGCGGAGACAGCAAGGGGGAGTGGGTCGCTGCCGTGTCCCTCGCTCCCGCAGGACGCAGTCTGACCAACTTTATTCATTCAAAGTTTGTAGCGAGGGGGGGGGGTAGGTTCAATCGCGACCGCTCGGTGCGGATCAGGAGAAGAAGGGAGGGGCAAGGGGCGCCGGGCAGTACGATTCTACAGCACGACAACCTTCTCGACTGTAGCCGCAGCTCTTTGACTTCAGACGAACGGAATCGACTCTACTAGAGAGGGGGAGGGGGGGGGAGGGGGGGTTACCAACGTTACTTCTCGACCCGCGCAGATGTGTGCACGACAAGAAAGGCCTGCGACGACGCACCTTGCTCGCCATCTCATTATATCCCCACGGAGAATCACGGGGCATAATCACATGGGCTGGGGACCGGCCGCCGGCCTTACGCGCCTTACCGCGCCAAATTATTATTTGGACCCAATCTCTGCGCGAAGGTTGTTTCGTCGGGGAGCTGGGCGAGATGGCAGAGCCGGGGGGG